GGTCTCGGCAAGCCAGTTTTTCGCGATCTGGCGCCATTACGACGCTGATGGTGATTAATTGCAGCATTGTCCCATTCTCCTAACTCCGTCAAGCTCGGAACTGAAGGGGGAGGGAGAGAAAGAGGGGCGTGGGTGGGGGGGGTGGGGGGGGGGGGGGTGAAAACACTCAACTTCAAAGCTCGGCGAGGGACTTGGCGACGGCGTCCTCCTCCTCCTCCTCCTCGTTGCTCTACCTGTAAGCAGGAAACTTTGTCGGGCGCAAGTTGCAACTTTTACTTCTTTCCATCTGAAACGAGGGGACGTTTGAGAAAACCGACATTTTCGGAAGGACGAGGGGCGGACCAGCCTCCGAGCGGTCGGTCGCTCCGATGGCGTTAGGACTTCTAGCTCTTTACCCTTCGTTCGGCAGCTGAAAGCCTCTAAAAGTCCGAAGCGCCTCCGGTTAAAACACAGTCGCGTAATCTAGAAGGAAACGGGGCGTTCTTCTTGGGGAGGCTGAAACCAAGACTGCAACCCGTATAAGTATTTCCCGAAGTCTGGTTGCACTCAGTGGGACTTTTGATCTAAACACGGGATTGCTCTGTTAATTTGCACGCAGGGAGGAAAGAGAGAAACCACTTAGAGCTGTAACCATTGTGTTCTCTCTCTTGGTGTTACAGGCAATGGATACATGGATGGAAACGAACTGCAGGGTTTTATCCAAGAACTGCAGCAGGCACGACAGAAAGCTGGCTTGGTAGGTTAAGATGGGCCTTTTCTTCTTCTTCTTCTTTTGTAAATGTTATAGGAATAGGAAAATGCCCGGAGTAGCTGGGAGTTAGGTGGCATATAAATTTAATAAAAATAAAAATAATATTTAATTCCAATAACCATGCTCCAGTAATGGATGACGATGACCATGTACATAGTTTGGTCATGCACATATCAGCTTAAATGCAATTGGATAAAAGGAGAAGTTGTGGCTGGGAAATATGGAATCCAGATAAAAAGCAAAACCTTGTGAATCAACCTCTCAACTGGATCATTCCAACTCTGGGTTAATATTAAACAGCATTTGAAAAGGAAGACAGAGAGACTTTATTCCAGTTATTGCCAATAAAAAGACAATCAATGAAATGAACAAGACAATGCTATTCCCCTAACAACAAAAACCATTAGCAACCATTTGTAGGTAAACCTTATACATATTTTTGCAACTTGAGAAAGAAGTTTATTATTTAACATGTATGCAGATAAAAGCTATCAGAATCCCTTGCAATCTGAATAAAACAGGTGTGATCAACTTTCTGTGAACATCCCTGTAGAACTGGCACTATAGAAGAACATGGGCTGTGGTTTCTATAGCACCCACATCACAGGACCAATATTGGGTTTCATATGGTTTTCCTATACTTCTCTTGCAGGATAGCTGTGGGGAGAATATTAAATGGAGCTAAGGATAAAACCATTCTAAATTGGAGAGCTGTGATATGATATAAATATGAAACTGGTTAATATTTGAATTTCCAGTTATGTTGTGAGAAAAAGACCTTCTGCATCTAAGATCCTTGGCTTTAGTATTGACCTGGCTTGATCTAACTTTAGGATGGCATCACTGGAGAACCATAGAGGCTCACCTAAAGGTGCTTTTTCAGGAGGCAACTGGACTTTCTTGGTTTTTTTTTTTCTTTTGAAGATGTTTCGCTTCTCATCCAAGAAGCTCCTTCAGCCCTGACAGGATAGTGGGGAATGGAAGGATTTATATTTCTTGTAGACAGCTGGTAATTTGCATCCTTTTAGAGGGTTATTGAAGCACTTGGAGGTTTATCTGGTATGTCCGAGCTGAAGAAACTTCCTGGATGAGAAGCGAAACATCTTCAAAAGAAAAAACAAGAAAGCCCAGTTGCCTCTTGAAAAAACACCTATGGGACAACCATGACTTGGATGACCGAGAATCTCTACAGACCCATAGAAGCTTCCTTTGGGTCGCTATTTCTCAGGAATATATGTAATTGTCTGTCAATATTAAATGGGTCAGTATGCTAGAATGGTGAAGTATCTTCAATCAGTAGGTAAAGATATTTATCCAGAGATTAGCTTTGAATTTATTGACTCCTGCTTCCTGTCGAAGTGCTGCATTTGAAATGCAGCAGGTAACCTGGAAGATGCTTCTTAGAAATTTTGTTTGAATCTTTCCTAATGATCATACTGTTCTGTGGTCTTAATTGAGCCCTGTATAGCAATTGTGCTTGGGCTTTAGCTTCAAAAACTTAATTGCAGCAGAAATAAACTGTGGTCCTCTGGAAAAATAATAAGTTGATGCACAACTCTGTCCATTGTGGGAAATATAATCCAGGTGATCATTTCTGCTTCCTGAGGCTTGAAAATTAAATTGGTATTAATTAATTAATTTAATGGGCATAAATTAATTAAATTGGCATAAATTTAAAAAACTACCACAAATGACAAATGTCTATTCCTGCTGATCATCAAAATGCGTGAGAAAACTGATAAGACTGATGGTTAAATGCAGTAATAGATATCTAAAAATCTTAACCACCTCAATGGATTGCCCACCTTAACCTGCTCAATGGATTGCTTCTCTATTTTGGGCATTTAGAGAAAGTAAGGATCTTGGTCTTAGCATAATTTATTATTAGTTCCTCCTCAGTGCAGTGATGATAAGTGATCTCGGAGCTCTTTTAAGGCCAATGGAGGTTAATAACAGGATTATCACATCATTGGCATACAAAAGTAAACTGGTATGTCTTTGGGCTAATTTAGGGGAATGGAAGGTAGGGCTACTTAGGTGAACCATTAATGAGTTTACATAATAGCTGAATAAATCTGGAACCAATACACAGTCTGGTCTATTTCCCCTCCTTACAGGTATTTCTTTTGTGACGCATCCTGTATTACTACACTTGACCATCAGTCTGATCAGTTTTCTCATGCATTTGGATGAGCAGCAAGAATAGACATTTGTCATTTGTGGTAGTTTTTAAATTAATGCCAATTTAATTAATTAATGCCAATTTAATTAACTAATGCCAATTTAATTAATTAATGCCAATTTAATTAATTAATTAATGTCAATTTAATTAATGCCAATTTAATTAATTAATTAATGTCAATTTAATTAATGCCAATTTAATTAATTAATTAAACTCCATATATTAATCTAAACTAAATCTAGATAGATCTAAACTGACCTGAAATCAATAAATGCTGAATCGATAAAGGGCTGTCTTGAGTTGTGCTATTGCAGCACCGGCTCTAATGTTGAGTGTCCTGTTCTAAACCCAGCCTCTTCATCCCTAAGGATATTCTTAGAATCAAGTCCGTCAATTAGTTTTGCCTCCTGCAGATATTTGTCATACATTTTGCTAATCTGTCTTAGCAAACTGATTGGGCGGTAGTTAGCTGGATCATCCCTTTTGCCCTTCTTGGTATTATACTAGTCAAGCCCCAATCCTTTGGTATCATGGCCAAATGACCTACTGCTGTGAAAAGTGAAGCTAGCACTGGCATCCATCATTCCAAGTTATTTTTTTTATTATTCATACATAATAAATTCTGAACCTGGAGCCTTTTATACCTAGTTTAATATTTCTGATCTCTGAATATGTGGTGGGCTCAGTGGGAAAAGAGAGGTCATACCCAAGTCCATCAGGGAATTCTGTTTTCCCACATAGGGCAACAACATGGTATGCAATGAATAGATATTAAGTTATTGGAAAAGGATGGAATTACCATTCCCCAAAAGATGGCAGGATTTTTTTTTGCACTGGCAACCACAATCAAAAGTTATCAAATACTCACATTGCATTCCCCCTCTTTTTTTAATACATCAACAGTACTGCTGTATTTTTAATTTCACTAGGTCAATTTTGTTTGTTTCAAAATAATTTTAGGTGACAATTTAGAAAATTGCAACCTTGGATCATGCCTAACTGCAATAAGTTGGGGGAGGGCAGTTAACAATGATTGAAATAATTTTGTTAGGTTATTGAAGCTAGCCAGAACAATTACAGTTAACTTGCTATCCACTATGGCTGAGTAAAGAGATTTGGTTGACTTCCCTCAAAGAAAGTTGGTGATTAATGCTGCATGCTGAGGTGTCCATTCATCATGAATAGAGCAAAGGTCATGGGCCACACTTGCATTTGGTAAAAGGGTAAAAACAACCTGTCAAAAAATTTCAGGTGCAAAGTAACAAAGATAGATAGGGAATTAAGCTTTGGAACATCCAGCATAGTCTAATAGGAAAGTATTGCTACAGGACCAGTGGGTAAACATAACTGGATAATCATCACTGGTGGTTCCGTTTAATACTACCAGATGGTTTTGTAAAAGTTTGAAATGAGACAAAATCCTCTACGGTCACTGAATACAATACATCCTTAGATTGGCAGAGTAAAATAGATGTTATTCCAGGAAACAATGGCTGGCAATGGAGTTTAGCAAAGAGTGATTTATTGTTGGCTCCAGTTCTTGCGTTAAAGTCATCACTAGTATTAAGTGATACTAGTGGGAATGCAATCCTTAAATCTCCCACATACGTATATATTTTATCCCTTGTTTCATCTGTAATCATATTTGCCGGGGTGGAATATACTCATTAATGACTGAGGAGTTGGCTCTTCCTGAATTGCAGGAAAGCTGCCAATGCATATCAGTCTGCTAGTTGTAAACTAGTTATTTGAGCTTGTAATGAGGCAGATGTTAGAATGCCTAAGCCCCCACAAAGCCTTCCATGTCTTATGCTAGGCACAGCTTCCAATGTAATTGTCTTAAGCCCTTTGACTAACAGTTTAGCCACATACAATGTTTCCTGGAAAAAAAAAAATGTCATAACTAGAGATATATGCCAGAAAAGATGGGTCTCTACTCCTGGATTTCCATCCTGTGATGTTCCAGGAAATAAAAGACAGGGGAGTAAATATTAGTTGGATGTCATTCAGTTGGGCTAGGAAAAGTTATTGATGTAGGCATTTCCTGAGAAACACTGAGATAGGGAGTTATATATCCCACGATTCCTGCACTGTCAACTGCAGCATTGGAGCAGTATATATCCGATATCCAGGTGCCCTTTAATGAGGCTGAGAAACCTGTAAGTGCTGATCTGCAAATTCAGATATATGTGGGTCTATGTTTGCAGCTCCTGGTGGTATGTTGGGGTTCTTCAATGACACAAGCTAGTTGTTTGTCTCTCTTTGATGAACATTGGAGATAAGTTCATATTAATAGCACTTTTGAACCTTCTGCATGGGGCAAGAAACCAAATCAATGGGGCAATTGTCTTGTCCGCTGTGGATTAAGTTTGTGTAAGGTCCTCTAACTTCTCTACTAAGTCCTCCTCTTTGTAACCTGGAAAAGTTCCAAAGGTTTCAATTATTTCTGCTTCCAGAGGTTCAGCTGCAATTTGTCCTTCTCTCTCTGCCTGAAGTTACTTATCTAAATAAGCTTCTCCCAAGAATAGGGCTGGTTTGTTATCTTTGTAACTGGGGCAACAACATCCATTCCTGATTTCTCAAAATTAAAGTATGGTAGTATCTTGATGTAATCACTCAATGAATGAGTAGATATGTGCCTCAAAAAGATTTAGTGGAAATATGAGGAAAGTGGTCAGCATGGATTTAATTTTGAAAAGCATACTTGGGATTATAGACTGCTTGAATGTCAGCAAAATTTGTTGCTAGGCAGCCATTTCGCCCTATATAAATCAATCACACAATTATGACATAGAAGTAGCTGACTTAGGGAGTAATGTATTGCTTTCTTCAATCTCACCATCTACTGCTGAGACTATTAAAGCTGATTTGTAAGTAAATCTGATTAGTTTGCAACATGAGGTTGTTTTGATCTTGATCCTCAGCCTTCCTATGCCTCAAAGTTTGGAGGGCAGATTTATTTGGCGTTTGTTCCCTTTTCTCCATCAGTTCATGGTATAAAGTTTGTATTTAGGGTTACAGTCACTTGAGCATTTTTGGATTACAGTTTCCTGCTTCAACAAGGTGAGTCAATTTATTGCGGAAGGTTTGGGAAAATGCATCAAGGGACTCTTTCAGTGAATCCACGTTCAATTTTGTTTCTGTTAAATAGTAAAAAATTAGTACTGCGGTCTGTGCAATCGATGAACTTTGCTTAGATATGAGTTCTGTAGTCTCATTTTTAGAAATCTCTTCCTGGAAGTCTTTTTTTAAAAAAAATAGGAGATGCTGCAGTTGAGCATGAAGCTGCCTCAGGAGAAGAGACTGTTATATCTAAAAGGTCTAAGGAACTTGGTTCCCCCGTGTTAGAAGTCCTCTGCACTATCATCTTGTTAAGTACCAATTCATATCTGTTTGAAGTATGTCCAGGGGTTTAGTGATAATGCTGTTGTAGGTGCTGTCATTACTTACATTTTGGTTTTCAGGCACCTGCTTTTAAAATTCCATTATGTCATCTGTTTTGCTGCTTAGATGATTTGAGCAATATCTGTGAGACAGAATTCATTCTTTGTCATTTCTTCCTCCTTCCCATGCGTTAATCTCTTGGTGGTAATGTGTACACAGTTCTTCTCAGCTAGTTGTTTGGAGATTAGTCAAATATGGTTATGGTTCCGGAACCAGTAATTTAAAAAGTGGATTAGCCTGATATTATAAGATAAAAATAGAAAATTACCGTGCACTCTGATCGCTAGATGCTTTTACTTCACCATCTTGGTTTTTTCCTCTATTGAAATGTTTACTTGCACTGTGGATTTTTTTAGTGTGAATAAAGGAATTTCTTTTAGAGTAAGAACATAACCTTGCTATATAGGTTGAAATATGTTTCTGCCCCTTTGTGGCCACGAAACAGCTCTGCACGCAGTATACAAAAATACACAGATTCAAAAACGCACACTCTCACACACTGAATGGTGGACAATTAGAAATTAATTAGGAATTAATTAATTTCATTAGGAATTAATGTGTCTAACGTAGATGTTTGAAAATGCTTTCTTGAAAGAAAAATAAAATAGAAATAAATTGATGTGTGACTTGACATTTTTAAAAGTTGTTGAAGTTGTTGGCACTCATAGCATACAATACATATTTTTTCTGAATATTGATGAGAACTATTTTTTACTGGTTTCTGGGCAAGGCTTATCTGCAACAGCTGTCTTCATACTCAGACATTCTAGATATGATTTAGGACTACAACTGGTAGGATGAATATCTTAGCTGGCATATTTTTTTTGTTCACTGTCATCTAGTTAGATGACGTTAGTTTAAGGAAGATGACTTATTGAGCGTTTGATTTCTGTTGAATTTTATATCTAATTAATAAGTGCCCAGTAAAATGATCACAGTATGAACATAGCTTGGTACTAACATTTAATCATTAGCTAGTTGCACAGCCACATTTAGTTGCAGAGTCAATTTCATTCATGCCACAGTTAATTGCCTTAAGTTCTGGATGCTTTTGTCCCATTTCAGATTTGCTTTAATTATAGGGAGAATGGAAAAAAATCTCCCTTCACCTCTTTTTCTTTTTGTTTGATTTTCCAATACAAGGTTTGCCAAAAAAGCTAAGTCTCTGATAATTCCAGGTGCTCACCATTGCATTGATAAATAATTATAAGTGATTATACTTGTTATGCCTTCCAATAGTTTCTCTTCAGGATCTATGAGAATCCTATGTCATTATTCTACATGTCACATTGAAACCATGATACTTTAGTTGTAATGAGTATGGATTGTTGATTGAAAAGTTAATAATTGTATTATTTTTATTTATTGGCTGTCTTATGTATTTCTGCATAGGACTGTAAACAGTTTACAGATAAGAAGCGCAATAAAAACAGTGACATAATATGGTAACATGCACCAAACAGCATAAAATAATAATAACAGATTTAACAATTGTTGAGAAGAAGAAAAATGTGTGGATACAGGACATTGAAGAATCTGAAGACAGCAGAATAGAAAAGAGTGAACTGGAGAAAACTACAAAATAAAAGATATGCAGCTAGGAGTAAAATAACTATGGTAAAAGACAGCAAAGATTGTACCAATCATAATAGATGCCTTGTTGGGTATGATACCAAAAGAACTGGTGCATCACTTGACACCATGGGCATTGACAAAATACCCATCAGTCAATTGCAAAAGATAGCTATTTGAAACAGCTTACATACCATTAAACATCATTTGCCTATCCCAGGTCATTAGATGGATAAATGCAGACTAAACATCTGGTTATGAGATCAAGTATAATAATAACAATAATGTTAGAAGTGAAGGCATCATTTGACTGAAAAAGATCATAAGATCCAAACAATACTATCAAGGCAATTAACACCTGTTTAATTCCAGTCATTAGATATACATCTGGAATGTGTATCTATTCCAATATTTGCTGGACTCAAGCGAAACAAAAGCTTCTGGATAGGATGTCCAGAAAGATAATGACAACGAATTGTGTCTATTGTCCAAGTATCAATGTTGACAGACTCTACTTACCAATGAGCATAGGAGGGCATGAAAGTTGCAAGTTAAAGAAGAATATCTGAAGGACATTGAATAGGATGTGCTGAAGTTGGTACACCATGAAGACTTACTCAATGTTATTGAATAACTTACTGAAGGCTTACTGAATAACAGAGAAACCAAACTGTCCTATAAGAAAAACCAAATGAACAATAGAAGAGAGACATGGCAAGGCAAAGTATTTCATAGCCTGAACGGAGGAGGGGGAGGAAGAAGAGGAGGAGGAGGAGGAGGAGGAGGAGGAGGAGGAGGAGGAGGAGGAGAACTCTAGCAGGCAAAGCAGATAACAAGACATGGCAATGGCTATGTGCTAGAAGTAGAACAACTAGGGCAAAAGAAAGCAAAAATAGTACCAATAGTAATAGGCACCTTAGATGCACTCCCAAAACACCACGTGAACATTATCAGCGTTGACAAATTACCATCAGTCAATTGCAAAAGTCAGCTTTATTTCGATCAGATTTCATTGTAAAGTGATGCTCTTAAAACCATCATAGAACAACATCTGGCTATTTGCATTCATATATTTCGAATATTCAGTACTGTGTAACTGAATTCTCTTTGTCTGAGAATTGTCAGCATTCACGTGCAACATAACGTGCTCATTGGTAATAATGTATACTGTAGCTATATGTCAGATCCAAACATAGTTATGCCTAGAGCAAATCTACTAAAAATCATAGGGAATACCAACTAGCTTAATGTAGCATAGCATAATATAGATTCATTCCAAGGCAGAAAACGAGCTTTTACAGTGTACCAGCCAAACTGAGTGCAGCTTGAACCTGCCCACTGATCCCATTCTCAGCAGAAAGGGAAAAAATGTTTTCCCAAGAAACTCGGCAATCACTTCTGATTATGTTTGCTGTGCTGATGGTTTCATGGTTCTCTTGTGCCAATCTTTAGTCATAGGCATGATTAGTTTATGTAAAAAAGAGAGTTATTTGGCAATGGGCTGACCCACTCTCCCTGGATTACTGTGTTGCTGCGTGCATTTAGACGTACGTCTGAATGGATATTGTCACCCATCTTCTGCATACTCCTGGTTGAGTACATACGATGGAAGGAGTAGATTATCACTGTTTATTGAACACTAAGTGTAAAAGAGTATAAAACTCCCTTTCTGGAACGCTATTCACATACTTTGTCAAGAGGAAAAATAGTTCTTTTAAAGGGAACACCCTGAAATTGTGAGAATGGCAAGAATACATAGTAGTGACTAATATTCATTATAGCTAGATAGAACAAGAATTTTGAGTTTAAGTCATAGATTTCTTTATATATTTAAATCATAATCTGAAATGTAATCAAAATTGAACACAGATTTTTCATTTTATAATTTTATTTTTCAGCCATCCATGAACTTTATTTTATTTACCAAGATACCTCTTAATCTTAATGCTAATATCTTAATGAATTAAGGCTGTATCTTTTCTTTTTTAACGAGGTTGGCCTCTGTCTGGAGGCCAGCCTCCATCTACTCTGCAGTGCAAACTTTGGAATTTGGCTAAACTTTCTGGGAAGGAGTGTGATTTTGCTTCCTTTTTGTTTTTGCCTAAAAAAAGTAATCAACATGCATTATATTTACAGGACTTAACCCCAGAAATGAAAACTTTTGTGGACCATTTTTCAAAGAGTTCTGATGGAAAAATAGGAATTGTAGAGGTAAGATTGCTTTTTATTCTGCATTAATTTACATGCTGTACAGTCATAGCTGTGCAGAGACACAAAATATGATATTTATTTATATTTCATATTTCTAAACCACCCATCTCCTGAAAAGAGGGTACTGTACAATATAATATAATCAATAATAATGTATAAAAGTTAACATTAGAAATTAAAAATTAAATTAGGGTTAAAAATTTCAAAAGCATAGAATAATGCAATCAAAAGGGAGGAATCTTAAGATGATCACTTAGAATAGAATTCTTTATTGGCCAAGTGTGATTGGACACACAAGGAATTTGTCTTGGTGCAAATGCTCTCAGTGTACACAAAAGAAAAGATACATTTGTCAAGAGTCAAGAATCATAAGGTACAACACTTAATAATAGTCATAGGGTACAATAAGCAATCAAATCAGACTAGAAAACAGTCAATATAAATCATAAGGATACAAGCAACAAAGTTACAGTTATACAGTCACAAATGGGAGGGGATGGGTGATAAGGAATGATGAGAAGATTAATAGTGATAATAGTGCAGACTTTGTAAATAGACAATGTTGAGGGAATTATTTGTTTCGCAAAGTGATGGCATTTGGAGGAAAACTAAACTTATGAAACATAAATTGTTTCAACTCCTTCCCTCAAAATGATGCTATAGAGCACTGCACACTAGAACAACTAGACACAAGTTGTTCTAGTGTGCAGTGCTCTATAGCATCATTTTGAGGGAAGGAGTTGAAACAATTTATGTCCGGGATGTGAGGGGTCTTTAAATATTTTCACAGCCCTCTTTTTGACTCGTGCAATATACAGGTCCTCAATGGAAGGCAGATTGGTAGTAATTGTTTTTTCTGCAGTCCTAATTACTCTCTGGCGTCTGTGTCTTTCCTGTTGGGTTGCAGAACCAAACCAGACAGTTATAGAGGTGCAGATGACAGATTCAATAATTCCTCTGTAGATCTGTATCAGCATCTTCTTGGGCAGTTTGAGCTTCCTGAGTTGATGCATTGGATTATTACAGGTGGGGGAAGCTCTCAAGGGGCCATAGTTGTGGAAGGGCAAGAGATTGAGGGACTTTCCTTACCTCTGGGAGCAAGATGTTCCACAAAGCAGGGGGAAGCGGCAGAGAAGTCTCTTTTCCTAGACCTCACCAGTCAAAATTCTTTGACTGACGTGGTCTGTAGTATATCATCCATGCTTGATCAAGTGAGACTGGATCCTGAGATTGGGCAAAGCCGGTTCGAGAGGGAACCTGGTCTTGTGCCATGTAGGACTTTATAGATGATAACCAACACCTTGAAATGGACCTGGAAGTAAATTGGTATCCAGGGCAGTTCACGGAGTAAGGGCATTATATGTGACATGCATATACTATAATACATGTATATTTTATTAATACTAAGGTATAAGATTATACAGCCATCTTTTGTCTTATGGCCCAGTCAGATTATAGTTCTCTAGTCTGAGGAATGGAAGGGGTACAATTTATATCATTTATTTTTCTCCTATCTGGATGTTCTCATTTTGAAGGGAACTCATTTGTTATTTGCATGTCATCTTGAGATGATTTTATAAAATAGTAGTGGGGTGGCAGTAGATTGAATTTGTCCTGATATATACTCAATCAATACCTCTGAGCAAACTCTGTGAACTCTTAGCTGTGCTGCCTCTACTTGCCATTCATGCAACTTAGCCAAGACATTACTAATATTTCATCATAAACTAAAAGAGGATAGATTGATACCATTTATTCCCTTTCAAAATATTAGTGTAACTGAAGCTTTTATCATACCTTGATCAGCCTAAATTTAAATCTGTGCTCCTTAGTCAAGTACAACAGACAGATCCCAATTGTTTTGGGATTTGCTTTGTTCAAGCAAAAACAGAAAATTGTGTCCTTTAAAGAAATCTAGAGGAGAGTATTTAAGAGGATTAGAATTATTTTCTGATAAACCATGGAAAGATGTAAGACCATTTTTGCTAGATGTGTATCCCGGTTGCAGCAATAATCATGATATATGATATTCTCAAGACCACAAGATGGTTCAAAACAGATCATCTTACAAAGTTTGTGTCCCTTTTGTGGGATCTGTTTCAGATGGTGCAATTTCATCTTTTGCTCTGAAAAAAAATTCCTCTGAAAGAAAAATAAGCGTCTGGTCCCTGCCATACAATTAGTGATCAAGGGTTGGCCAGGTATTCCATGATATTTCTGGAAATCAACTCCTGAAAAAAAAATCCAGATTCACTATGGGAGGTATTTTCCAAAGTCACTCTCACTCTCAAAAATGACATTTGTTACAGAAAATATTCACAATATTGAAATAGTGTCAATGGATGATTTGTTCTAGACCTGAAGCCAACAGTTCTCAGGGCAGGGATTGTAACTGCTTGATTTCAAGGCCATCAAGCATTATGTCAAGAATCTGTTAATTCATGGGAAGTGCAGGAGGTAGAAGTGAATTGAAGCCACAGTGTGTATAAGAGTCATTTATACATTCTTACTGCCATAAATTAACTATTGTAGACTATCATGTTAACTTCATGATAGTCTACAATACAATATTTCTCTAACGTCACTGATACGGAGTCTTCTACCAGATGAAGCCTAGCAGTTGACCTAAATCATAAAATATCAAAAGATTGGTGATCTCCTGCTGAGTCCTGGAGATGGCCAGGGACTTTTAAGATTCTAAGATGCTCATTAGCAGAATGTTCATTCATTCTGTTGCCTACCTTTCTTCTCATTATATCTTATGTTAGTGTAATATTTTTTATTGGAGGGGCCATCATTTTTGTCCACTGAGGTCAGCGGCTTAGTAACTTCAATATGGGGGAAAGCTCAAAGTATTAACATTATTCTTCAAATTTTATTTTGACTTTGTTTTCTTTCTTGAATTGAAATAATTGATACATCTCATCATTTTGAAAGTAGAGCACTTCCTTGGATGGCACTACAAGAAAATAAGCCAAAGGCAAATACTCCTCTGAAAAGGTCTTGAATGCACTATTTCTCTCTTCTCGGACTCCTGTTACTAATTTTCTAGATGATGTTAACTTTAGCCTTTCCTCATTTTCCACTGTTAAAAAAACGTTGATTTCTTGTTTCTTCCTCCCACTGTTTTTTATGAAACTGTACTTCATCCCTTAAATGGTATAATTTAAAGGAAATTGTGGAATACAATGTAGAACCTATCATTCCTCCTTCCCTCTTTATCTGAAGCTGATTGAAATTTGAAAATATTAGTGGAAAAGACTGCAACTTTTAAAAACAAAAATTATCTAGGTAGTTGGAAGATCCTTTTCTCATCTCCAAATCCATATTAAAAGTTATTTTGCTTCTCTTAACAATGAAACATCACTACAACATTAAGATTTCATTAGCATATAATAATCAGCCATTTGAAAATTGGAGAAAGTTAGTAACCCAGGTTACTGATTTAAATATCATAGAAATGTGCAGGTTGGATCAACAAACGGAAGACTCTTGGCTAGCTCACATATCACTACTAGCCACTTATAAAATGTAAAAGCAAATATTGCACCAAGCTAAAACAAAATTAATCAGATTAGGACTCGTGTCATTTTATATTTCTGGTTTAGTGATGTCATAGTTCAGTATATTGGATACAGAAGAAATTATTCATGGATTGTACCTGGTATTTACAAACCACTAAACAATTGTGTGAAAATGCTTCTTATTTCCTTCTTGAAACATAGTGCAGTAATCTGTACTTTATTCTACTTGGAAGAACAATTCTAAAGTGAAGTTAATTTTTTTCTTTCAGCTTGCTCAGATACTGCCAACAGAAGAAAATTTCCTATTATTCTTTAGATGCCAGCAGCTAAAATCTAGTGAAGATTTCATGCAGGTAATCCACATAAATTTTGTCTTGTGAAAAATTGCATTGATAAGGTGTAAAATTTTGTATATAGATTTATACAATTTTTTGAGTTGCTATTTTCTGAATTCCAGACATGGCGAAAGTATGATAGTGACCATAGTGGATATATTGATGCCGAAGAGCTTAAGGTAAGAAAATCTCTATAATAATTTCTTAAATATTTGGGGCATTCTATATCAAAAGAATTTGCAGAAAGAAGTTGTGGGGGAAAAAAGTCTTTAAAAGTAGAGGCAGTACAACATAGCTGTACCAAACTAAGAGTTTACTGCGCTATTTCTGTCCTAAATATATGATACCAGCAACATTTAAAAATTATAATTACAAATGAATGCCGACAGACTGTTTCTGGATTGTACCATTGTTCTGATGGGATTGAAGGAATAAACAATGGATGGGAAAACAGAAAGCTAAATACCAGGGAGATGGGCCCTAGCTTATATTTCTTTAAAAATACTTCTTTCTCTGTGAAGGTAAGGTATTCATCTATGTAGTTATATCTTCTAAGAGTACAGCCTAGGAATTGGTTTATTTTTTTACTAAAGGTATTTTGCCCTTCAGCCAGATTTAAAACAACAAATATATAATCAAATACTGATAAAGATATAAAATTAACAAATAAAACCAGATATAACTACATATAGCATAGAACTTCTTAATGTCCTAAGCCAGATAATGCCAAGAGATATAGCCAGGTTTTTAATGTGTCAACTGGCATAAACTTCTTCAACAATGGATGACTATTGTACTAAGAAGGCCTACCACAAAATTGTTTTTCTGAGGATAGACACACAAGTAGCATCAGATCCCATGAGATCCAACAGAAGAGGTATGTTATGGATCCTGTCTGCTAGGGAACTGCACTTGGCAAGATTTATGGAAGTCCCTTAAAATCAGGTTATCCTATCAGGCCAGGATATCCCAGGGGATGAATGAAGTACTGAGGAAGTTCCATTGTAGTTGACATCTGCTGCCATCAATTTAATTGCATTTTTTCCTGGATATTTTTAAACGCGTATACTTTTATTGTATGCCACCCCAAGTCACTTTTTTGTGAGAGGGGCAGCTATATAAATTTGATGAATAAATAAACAGGCAATTGACAGCTGATAGCATAAGTGGACAGATTATGTTTTTAAACACTATCAGAGCCAATCTAAGGAAACACACACAGATTATGTGCCCTATCTGATCTTAAGACCTTTCATAGTTTTCTCAGATAGAATAACCAAATTATTCTGGGCTTCTGCTTAGCTAGAATATGAGCAACCTAGAATAGACCAACTGAATTATCTATACATTTTCCCACTTGTGCCCATTCCTATTAAAAGCAAAAATAATACCAAGAAAAAAATTTAGAACAAGCATATGTGGGTTTTTTTGTGATAGGCATTCATAATTCCCCAGCTCTCAAAACTTCTAGCTTAATAAAGAATTTTATCATGTCACTAAAGTAGGGCAACTGGCTGCCCATCTGGGAAACAAAGTTTTCTTGCAAGGTCAGGAAAGCAACTTTGGCTCTGCTAACTAATTATGGAACCTGCATTTAAAAGAACAGGCATTGCCAGAACTGAGTGATCAGGAATGGAAAGCCTGTAACCTTGGGGTCATGCATAGTCTGTGATCTAATTTGAAATTACTTTTGGGAAGGGCCAAGGGTTTTCCTAAGGGCTTAAGGTCCCTTTCCCCCAGCCTGTTGCTTGGAAGAAGCTGGTATCAGAGAAAATCATGAGTGTTTGATGAGAAATTACCTTAACCAAATTAGTTCTGACCTATTGCATGTGTCAGGCATGCTCAGCATACAGCTACCCAAAGGGAGTCTCGTTCTTACATAAAGCTCTGTACAGGATATGAAACTCATTCAAATGATGACATTTAGAACTCTAAGAAGAACTGTGTTTAGGAAACAAAATTCTAACTTCAACTTGAGGACTAGTTGATGGGGAAATGCTAAAGCAGTACTACTTAATGGATCATGTACCCCCTTTCCCTAATGTTTGATTTCTCTCCTCGTTAAAAAAAAAGGCAAGCTGTTTGTATTCTTACCTCCAATCATCTTCAAGTAGCCCCAGACCACAAAATAACCAACATTCATGAAGTCAGGGCTACCACTTGGCCAGAGGAATGAGCTGCAGCTCCCAACTATGTGACATTTGTAACATAAACTGGAATAGAAGCATTCCTTATGCCTGCTAGCTGGGTGGAGAATTATTCTGTAATATAATGCTAATAATTAGATTTACATTATAGTATAATGCAAGCTAATCTACCTGATCATCCCCATTGAGAGGACTAGGCACCTGGAATGTAGAAGACAGATTAAGTTTCCAATTGTTATGAGTATTATTCACTATAGTTCTGTCCTTTGCATTTCAAAGATGCATTCTTCTACTTAGAAAGAAAATCTATTAAGGTCAATGATTCTTATCCCCAAGCATGTACGAATTAGGATAATAGCCTTTATATTTTAACAGAGGGAAAATGTTATTTCTCTATCCATAATTAACTAGAAGAAAAATATTTTATTCTGTAAGTAGATTAGACAAAGTATTGCTTTTTGATATATTAATTTTGTTTCAGAACTTTTTGAAAGATTTACTTCAGAAAGCAAACAAACAGATTGATGATTCAAAACTATCAGAATACACAGATATTATGGTAAGACCTATAACTGCTATTTCTTCATTGGAATTAATTGCTCTACCTCATTTTAAGATACCCACACAGAACCTAAAATAATGTATCATAACTCTATTTAGACTCTGTTGGACTTTGAGTTACAATTCAGTTGACAAATGATAGCAATTTAGTTGGCTTCTTAGGGTTCATAAACAATGGAGAATAAAAAACTATGAAATTATAACTGAAGAAATCCAGCAGGTTCATCTATGTGTGTATAAGAATAGTCTGCAATCATCTTTGTGCATTTGTGTTGCATGGATTTCATTTACAGAATTGTCTGCAATGGCCATCCCAGTGGAGAAATTTGGGAGTTGAGGACATCATATTAGGAAAATCTGTTTTCAAAATATTTTGGAGATAATCACTTGAAACTCAAGGGAGTTTTGGAAATGTCATGCACTGCATATTCATAACATTATTTCAGCTATATTAATGTTTTAGTGAACTGCCATTGCCTTGGGAAATTTTTTGGCATAATCAGCCTCAAAAGGTGGGATTTGGAGAGGTGGGGTGGGATAAATAATAATTTTAGTTTCCACCATTTTAAGTCCCACATTTGTAAAGCACTTTACATTAATTTTGATCCAGCTTTCCTTTGTGAACGTACACTTAGTGTAGGTTCTACACTCAGAATCTTTAATCAAAGTGGGGGCTTCCAGTGGTGTTTCCGTCGAAGAAGGATCAGAGACCACAATCCTGCGCGGCTTTGATCCGTGCTTGCCCTGTTGGAGGGGTCCCTGAGGAACTGAACCATCTGACCCAACTGTAGGGGTGGGGGAAGAGGGGGAGACCAGCAGATGGGTCGAGGGGAACTGCATCTCCCCTCCCTGGCTTGGTACTTACTCCCCTAGAAGACAGGGAGAAGCAGCAGTTTACTGGCTGCCCTGAAGATAGGAGGTCGCTGGGACTTTAAATTTTGTGCTGGGGAGTGGAAGTGGTGAGTGGCGTGTAACTGGATAAAAGACTTTGAATACTTTTTTTTGAAAACCCAAAAAAGTGGAAAGAAAGACTCCGCATTTGGAAGAATGGTAGCGGTGAACTGGGAATAATAGGAAAATATAAGGTAAAGGAAAAACCATAAATAAAATAATTATATGAAATTAGAGATTAAATTTGGACTAATATAGAGAATTGGACATTAATTAGGCATTGGATAAAATGCTGGACTTATTTGGAATGGATAAAATGTAACATTAATACTACAGAAAAGAGAATTAAAAATGAGAGAATTTTGAAAAGAAAGTGATAAAGAGCACCACCTAATGGTTAAAGATTTTCCTCTTTTATGTTTTTATGGAAAATTACTGGTTACAGAAATATTTGAAAGAGAGAAGAAATGGAATAAAAGATTATTAATACAACAAAAAACCTGGAAGTTTTTTTAAAAAAAGAGGGGACTACAGTAAAATATAAAGGAATACAATATTTTGGGACCACTGGAGGTTGATTGTAACAAGAAAATAGAAGAAAGAGAAATATATGAGAGAAATGGAGGCTTTTGGCAGGGACTACAATAGAAAAAAATTGATCTTTAATAAAGAAATGGAAGAAATAAGTAAAGAATTTAAGTCAGAGCTGCAAACTGTGAGAGATACGTTAAAAGAAAGAATGAAATTGCTGGACACATTGATTAGTAAAGTAATGGAGTTGCAGCTTGTAGAAGACAAAGAAAGCCCAGAGATGACAAGTCGGAAGAGGGAAACAACAGCCCAGATGAATATGGAGAACAAGGACTATTGCCAAAGGATATAAAAGGATTTTAAAAAGAGACATTGACAACAGAGACAATAAATAAAAGAGATAAGGCTCCCAAAACTAAGAAGAAGGAATTATATAAGAAGAAATCCCAAAAAAGAGAACTGGAAAGGGTGGGGGAAAGCATGGCTGACAGGCAGAAGGGAATAAAAATAATACCAGAAGGAAAAAAGACCAGGCAAACTTTGAAAAGGGAAAGCTGGCTAAAATTAAAAGAAATAATAAAGCAAAAAAAATTAGAGATAAGGGTTAGGGATTTTATAAGGGGAATACCACATTGGTATTTAGTTTAAAACTTGCTGGGAAATATTTTAGAATTATATAACTGTATGTATGTATATATATATGTGTGTGTGTGTGTGTGTGTGTGTGTGTGTGTGTGTGTGTATTTTCTTAAGTTTTCACGGGTACTTACATGTAAGGTATTCAGCTTTGTTCGGGTATTTTCCCACATCATTATAGTTGTGCTTTTAAAGTTGTAGCAGCGTTTCAGCAGAATCTCATCTGCCATCATCAGGCTTCTGTATTGTGTTCGTCTGTGAGTCAGGTCCCCACAGTTGTTTCAGTTTTAAATTTGGTGCTAGCCTACTGCTGTGTTAGAATGGCTTTTTCTTCATCCTGATTGGTTGGGAGTCTTGGTCTGTGTTTATTGGTCTTGGAGTTTGCTGTGTTCTGCTTGATTGGTGTTTTTAATATCTTCTGTCTGTTTTGTAGCTTTTTTTTGTTTTGATTGGCTGATAACATTGCGTTTCTTGTATTGGAGGCTTTTAGTGTGGCTTGGCTTCGAGTATCATTTATTAGGAAGCTAGGTTTCATCTGGGTGCCTGGTTGGGTTGTTTGAGCTGAAGGTATCAGGGGGGATCTGTTTGTGCCCAGGTGTTTGCCTGGCTTGTGGTATGGAGATTTTTTTGTTTGTGAGTGCAGGCTTCCAAATAATTGACAGTCTGGTGGAGTCATCTCTTCTATTCATGCTTTCAGGTCTTTTTTTCAATCTCTATGGCTTCTCTGATAATTCTGTAGCTGGGGTTTTCTACAGTGGCTAGGGTTTTGGTGCCATTGAAGTCATGTGTTGGACTGGTGAGGAAGTGTGCTCCAGCTTTTTTACTGGATTTTTGTGTTCATCCAGGCGGGTACTTATTCTTCTATTGGTCTGTCCAGTGTATATGGCAGGGCACGATGCACAGGGGACTTCATATATGCCTTGGTTTTCCAGGTCAATTTTATCTTTGGGGTTTCTTAGGATGGCTGCTATTTTTCTGTCTGTTTTGAAGGCAGTCTTGATGTGATGCCTATGTAGTATCTTACTGGTTTTGTCTGTAGTACCTCTTATGTAGGGCAGGACAGCTGTTCCATAGGTCTGTTCATTTTCTAGGTCTCCATTATGACTCAGTGTGTTTTTGTGGATCAGGCAAGTGATTTTGCTTTTGTGGAAGCCATTGGCTGTCAGTACTTTAGTCAGGGTGCATAGTTCAGTCTTTATGTGTGTTTTGTCTGCCAGGCATTTGGTTCTGGCAATTAGTGTTTTGGCCACAGACCCCCCCCCCCATACCTCCAGCTCAAACAAACCCCAACCAGGCACCCAGATGAAACCTAGCTTCCTAGTAAATGATAGCTGTCCATTTACTTGAAGCCAAGCCGCACTAAAAGCCTCCAATACAGGAAACACAATGTTGCCAGCCAATCAAGACAAAAAAAAAAGCTACAAAAGAGACAGAAGATATTAGAAACACCAATCAAGCAGAACACAGCAAACTCCAAGACCAATAAACACAGACCAAGACTCCCAACCAATCAGGATGAAGAAAAAGCCATTCTAACACAGCAGTAGGCTAGCACCAAATTTAAAACTGAAACAACTGTGGGGACCTGACTCACAGACGAACACAATACAGAAGCCTGATGATGGCAGATGAGATTCTGCCGAAACGCTGCTACAACTTTAAAAGCACAACTATAATGATGTGGGAAAATACCCGAACAAAGCTGAATATCATACATATAAATACCCATGAAAACTTAAGAAATATATATGTATACACACACACACACACACACACACACACACACACACATACACACAAATTATGTATGAATTGTGCTGTTATAAACCCTTTCTTTAGAGGATTAAAAACAGGGGAATGGAAATGAATTAAAATATATAGATAAACTTTGGCAAAGGGGAAAGGAAGAAAAATATGATTATTAATGATTATAAGTAAGGTGAAGATAAAATGAGATATATTAAGAAGTTATCTTAGCGATTTACTGGGGGGATTCTTTAAAATACATTTTAAAATATACAGTTGATTATTTAATGGATATTAGAAGTGTACAATAAGAGTATTTTATTACGATTAAAGTAGGAGAATGAAAAATACCATGTGGATCCTAAATATATTGGCTTTATTTTACTTTTATTCTTTTTAGATTGTTTATTATATAATGGCTTAGAGAAAATTAAGGATAATAATGATGTGTAATGTAAAATAAAATAGGTGGTAAGCTGAAAATGGAAATAATAGGGGATAAAGAATTGAAAACCCATGTGTGGATGAAATGATATTGATATTGAATTAATGACTTGAAATATGAAATGCAAATTTATTTAAAGATGAGTGAAATGCATAATGATATGATATTATATAAGATTAATGGAAATGAAAATTTGGCTATGTACAAGTGTTATAATCTGGAATCATGTTGCCCACGTGAAGAGATGTGTAAAAATTAAAAAAATTAAAAACTTTTTATATATAAAAAAAGAATCTTTAATCAGTATGAAAAACATCTTAGAAAATCAGTCTAAAAGACTGCATTGTCGGGTATTTTTCTATATAAAGAATGGTTTGATAGCTTTTAGAGAAGAATATAACAACCAGCAATTCTCTCTGCATAACCTTTTCCAGAGTACCATGGAGATACTCCACGCTTTTAGAAATGAACCCTAATTGCAGAACTTAATGCCAGGATTTGGGATCCAACCTGATCAAAACAAAATGTAACAGCAGATATAAAAGCTGTTGAAGAATATGATGTAATAAAGTACATATGATTAAAAGTCAAAACATTTGCAGAGGCGACAATGACTTCATGAGAGGCTACTGGGTTTCACTGAGTTAAGCATATTTTCCAGACATGAGAGGACTTCAAAGTCAAACTTTTCCCATTCTGACTGATTTTTTTTTTAAAAAAAACTTATTATAGTCTATAACTTAATCTTTTCAGCTCAAGATGTTTGATGAAAACAATGATGGAAAGCTGGAACTGACAGAAATGGCCCGGTAAGAGGAAAAAAAAAGTAGAAAATTTCATCAATTGGTTGTGGAACATGACACAATGCAGGCGGGCAAAGGGAATGCTGGTAATTAGTGCAAAGCCAGTGCTATACAGTAGGATGTATTGGACTCGTTCCTCCAAGGATAAACTTAGCAGTTCATCCTTGGGTGGAAAAGGTCAACCCAAGCAAGCAATTGTCCAAATGTCTACATGCGCTGTTTTTTGACATTGGGAAGGAAATGAGGGTTTCCAAGAAACATTAGCACTTCTAAGCCCAGCTAGCAATATCCTCTTCTACTGCCAACAATTTGTTTGTTTCTTTGTATCCCTTTATTATTATTATAAATAACTTAAGGCAGTGAACATATCCAACACACCTTCCTCCTCCTATTGCCCCCGCAACCATCTTGGGACGTGAGCTGGGTGGAGAGTGTGATTGGCCCAAGATCACCTACTTGCCTAATTCCAGGCTTCAAATAAATACACATTTTTTTTTAAAAAAATGTCTTCTCAAAGAGTTTGTCTACAAAACACAGGAGATTTCAGCTCATCTGACTTTCTCAGCATCTGTTAATCTTTAAAGGGATTGAAATGCATGCGTGCAAAGTGTTTTGAAGCCAAAGTATTTTGACCTAGAAAGAGTTTCAATTTGAAATGCTCGATTTTGAGTTCAACCAGCTGTTCATTGAAGAAGTAGTGTGAGCGGGAAATAATTTCCAGTGGAAAACACCTGCAATGAAACATTAATGTTTTCAACTTGAAATAACTCTTAACAAACTTCTGTTTCAAGCTCAAAGCATTCCAAAATTGAAATGATTTGCTTCCTCTGTTCTCTGCTTCTTTATTTACTATGGAATTGTTCTAAATTCCTCTTGTTTTCTTCCAAGGTTATTGCCAGTGCAGGAAAACTTTCTCCTTAAGTTTCAGGTATGCCTGTTTAAAAGTGTTTTGTATTTTCATATACTGAAATCTTGATTCGTTTCTGTTCTAATATTTTCCCTTCTTTTGAATATTAGGGTATTAAAATGTGTGGAAAGGAATTTAATAAAGTTTTCGATACATTTGATTCAGTAAGTAGAATTCTTTTTTAAAAAACAACTGTGGATCAAAGTTTTCAATTTATTTCTAAGCTGCAACAAGTCAATGAAAGCAGCAGGAATGAATAATAGGAAAACTCAAGTACTATTTTTTTTCTTTTCAGGATGGGAATGGCTACATAGATGAACAGGAATTAGATGCTTTGCTAAAAGACCTCTGTGAAAAGAACAAAAAGGTAATTCTAAGATTTCCATTTAACTTGTACTTAATGGGGCTTTTTCTCTTCCCAAGTCTAGACAGTTCGAGAAGTTCTTTTGAAATGCTCTATATTTAGAATTCTGGATACAAAATGAATGAAATCCTATATGTAATATCAGGTAGCTCAGTTTACTCCTACATTAATCTATTCGCATCACCGGTTTAGTAAAACAGCCGCCATTTCTCTTAGATGTGTCCCCAGGCTGGAAGTATAGTAGGTGTCTTCCTTCTTTGAACTCGGTATCTATTAACAATGAATTGAAAAGGACCACACAATGCTCTGGCTTAACAAAGACAAAAATAGCTGCTCTTTTCTCAAACCCCTTTCCACTGTTTTCTTTCAAGCAGGCCTCAGGAAGCAGCAATTAACCATATTCCCTTAGAGACCATAAATGTCAAACAAGCAGTCCATATCTAGCAACACTGCTGGTAGTTAATTCATAGTAAAATGGCAGAGAACATGCACTTAAGTGACAAAAGAATGGAAACACAGTTGTTGGTATGGTACAATGTCACTCCTGGGGCAGGGTTCATGTAGATTGCTAAGGTGAGGTTTAGCATCCCAGTCAATAGGCTGTAAGTGGCTTCCCAAACCAAAATTCTGTAGTAAAATAATGTGGGGTTTTTTTTTTTTGCTCTTTGCTCGTATAACAGTATTTTCTTTTGCATATTTTGCAAAAACAAATTTGAAAATGTGTGCATGAAGCCTTATTAGGTTTAATACAATGTTTTGATTTGATTGTCCCAGCCCAGAAATTCAACCTTTCCATTTGGTGGCACCACATCACTGGCTGAGCCCACTGTGAGAGACAAATAAGTAATCAAATACATACATAAATAATCCTCACCTGGCAAAAGACTATTATGCTATTCAGTAGGCTTTTTTAGCTCTTGAAAGTTTTTAATAACCCAGTTAACTGGGTTATACAAGTAGTCCTCAACTTACAACCACAATTGAGCCCAACCTTTATGTTGTTAAGTGAAGAGAAATTTGTTAAGTGAATTTTGCCCCATCTTTCAACTTTTTTGCCATGTTTGTGAAGTGAATCACTGCAGTTGTTAAATTAGTAACACTGTTGTTAGGTGGATTTGGCAAAATATGACTTAGTTGTCAAGCATCTGAATGAAAATCACATAACCATGGGGATGCTACAGTGGTCATGAGTGTGAAAAATGGTCATAAGTCATTTTTTCAGTGCCATTGTAACTTTGGTCACTAAACGAAAATGATATGGCATGTCAAATTTTTTAACTTTCAAACATTATGGGTGTTTAAAAGTTGTGACTTGCCTTGGGGATGGTAAAGGTATTTTGATTACTTTAATATCATTTAGATGTGCCTGGTAAGTAACTACATAAATATCGTAACTTTTTAATATTTTGTTTGTTTCATTTGTAAGTTAAGGACTGTCTGCCTATTGCACTAAAGCAGGGGTTATAATCTGCAACAGTTGAATTCATAACAACTGCAAAAACAAACAAACAGTAGTTTAGCACAACACATGCACACAATCCCAGAAATACATAATGCTTCTCACACTGGCAAACATTTCTCAACCGACTCCTTTCAAACAGCTTTGAATTAACAACTGCTTCCCTTCCCAATCACTCCAGTGTAAATGTGAGAAATGCAATTCAACACTACTGGAGGATGTCAAGTTGAGAGGAATGATATCTAGTGGCTTTAAAATACGTTTTCTTTTTTTAAAAACAGGAATTAGATATCAATAACCTTGCAACCTACAAGAAGAACATTATGGCCTTGTCTGATGGAGGAAAACTTTACAGAACAGAACTTGCTCTCATCCTCTGCGCTGGGGAAAATTAAAAGTCCATCTCTCATTTCCACTCCAACTAGTAATATATTGTTATCTTTAAAAAACACCACAAAAAACAAAAACAAAATTAACTGTGCATTATAAGAGAGTAGGCTTTATTTCTTTTATATTTTTAAATTGAAAATCGCATACAGATAATTAGCCATGTTATGTGGCACATTCTTTTCAGCTTGTTTCTATTATGTTCGTAATGTACAGCTTTTGTAACTAAAGAGGATGTCATAAATTACCATGGGCCAGTCTGTCAATGCATTTACCAATAGCTTTGTTTTTGTGAGATATGGGAGAAGGTTTCAAGAGCGCAGCTGAGATTGGTATTAGCTAGGTCTCCATTAAGCAAATAGGTTTTCAAACAATATCAGAAAGAAACACACATTCAAAATCAGTTTAGGATGATGGTGGATTTCTTCTTTTACTTTTTCTTTCTTGTAAAAGAATGTAGGGCTGTAGAGGCTGTTGGGATCCACCAGAATTGTTTGGCGGCATCATCTTCTAGAAAGTGATGGTCAGCCTTTTTGTCAAGTGTACTATATCTCAATCAGTCCAAAAAGACTAGTCATCTCTTTCTAGGACATGGGTGTCAAACTTATGGCAACATGTTGCTGTCACGGGACTTTTTTCCTCCTTCTTGGAGCTGGGGTAGGCATGGCCTGTGCGAGATGCATCCAGCCCACAGGCTGCCAGTTTGACACCCATGTTCTAGGAGATATCCCATATCTAAATATACCTGAAACCACTGAGAAATGTTTTAAGAAGTTCATTATTAGCAAACCAGTTTCAGTCGAGAAAGGATTTGGGCATAGAAACATCAGCAGTGCATTCATTTACTATGATCAAGTCAACTTCCAATATATTATAAACGTCTTGCTCTTCAGCTTCCTTAAATTCACTACCAAGGTCAACAGAGGCTCTGGATGTGAAGGTGCTGAACTTCCTGAGGAGTTGTTAAGCTTCCTTGTTGCCTGGCAAGAACAACATTGTATTTTTACTGGACAAATGGCATACTTCTAATCAGTTAAAAATCAACACACCAATTTGCCTCATATTTTACTTTCAAACTTTAGCATTTGTAAATGCTGTTATGTCAGAGAATGTCAGTCCATTTTTCTAAAACTATTTCCACATTTTGCATACCACAACTCTTTCAAACTGCTGTTTTTACATCATTCTGTGTAATCTATAATTAAATTTAATATGCTAATATACTAGTACACAATTTGTTTGATATTCTGTTCTATCACAGATAATAATAAAGGCTACACAATCACACAGGTCAATTAACAACCCAGCTAATTTTCTAAATCTAGAAAATCCTCTAATTTCAACAAGAAATAGTCAATTTATCTCCTAATTTTTATAAGTGGTTGAAGCATATTCAGTGCAGATAAAATTGCTTTATCATCCATGTACTGTACCTAACCTGGAAATGACTCAAGGAGCACAGAAAACCATGTGTCTGACTCCATACATACCTACATCACAAATTCCATTTAATTATTTTGAGTAGGATTTTGTCATTTAGTTGTAACAATCCAATAAAAGTACACTGTACTACCGGTTTACCGCAAAAGGAAGCTATAGAGGCTGACTCTCTGTCATATCAATTCAAATGACAGTATATAAAACATTTTAAATATTGTTTACCAAATCGTTGTACATTCATTTAATGGGTTTTGAGAAACTGTATTTCACTGGGCTGAAATGTATTCCCTGCATCCAATCAGATCTACATAACTTTCTAACAAATGTGATAATATTCCCAAGTCTGTATTTATGTTGATTTAACTTGTGATGCATCTACTGTATGCTTTCTTGATCAATCTTCCTTTAAATGTATTTTAAGAGTTATTTAATATAGGGCTGTATTTTTTCCTACCATATGACTAGTACATTTCACCGATACAAATGAGATCCAATTAGCAAGTGCTCATATGGGTGTTTTTTTTTAAATGTGTACTACCTTTATGAGTGTTTCTTCATCAGAAAGGTTACTACATCAAGGTTACTGCTTAATCAGGTCAGAAGGCTCTTGTTTGAATTCCACTTCAAGTATTAACCATTTAAACACTGGTTATTGTTGTATGGGCTGTTGCATGTTCAAAAGATTTGTATACTATTTCAGCAGTAGGCATCTTCATATGGTTATGGGACTGTTTAATTATTAGCATTTAGGAATACCGTGAAGAGATAAAGCTACAGTGAAATCATTTAGCTAACTTGAAATTATACAAGGCATCAGTTAAGTCAGTTGATATATAATTATAGCTTTTGAAAAAGCTTGTCTTACAGGATATTCCTTTTATTTACCATGGTAGATAGTTATTCATACAGGATTAATACTCCTATTGATCAAAATATCAATCTTGTGACTCAAATATTACTTAAGATGAGCCTATAATTAAGCATCTAAATATACATGCCCTAATTTTTGTTAATACTGTGTAGCTACAAAGCCCACTGGCATTTAATAAGAGCAGCTGCTGTGAATCTTCAGAAATTAGGCCAACGAATATTAATTACCAATTCATATTAGTATATTTTATTATAAATTAAAGCACAAGGGCGTATGATATATTTTGCTGGATGTTCCCTCCCAACTCTTTACATGAAAGAAAATCTTTATTCTATGAAGGTGATCAGCTCAAAGTGGAGTTGAAAACCTAAAGGTAACAGTGATACATTGTATACCAGGAGATTTGCTATCATCATCTCTCTAGCCTTTTTCAACTGTATTGCTTTTCTTGGGTGTCAAATGAAAACATTATCATATTTATAAAAGAAAATAAATTATGTTCTTAAGAATGATCCCAGCACCATTAGTTTTCCTTTATGTCAACGTCGTCTAAGGAAAACACAGTACAGCTTAATGATAGAAGTCATTTTCAAACAAATTTTCAAAATCTATATAGGGCATTAGCAGGTAGGGCTCAGAAAGAATCCTGACTGAAACCTGGACACCTGTTTAGAATAAAGGAGATACATCGGTGCTCTTTAAACATTTTTTTAATCTCTATTTCTGGCCATGATGACTACAAGTAAGCAAAACTGCCATATGACAACACAAGAAAGGCCACATTTCTCCCTTATTTAGACAGTGCCAAGGTAGACAAAACAAGTCTGCTCGGAGGCTGGATTTTCCCATATTTGGATTACAGAATTGATCTTTCTGGCTTTATGCAGTATAGGCTTATTAAATCATGACACCCCACCCCACAATCAAGTGGATTAGCACAAGTCAATAAACTATAGCAATCCGACTAAAGAGAATGTGAAAATGCCACTCCCAAGTGACCTTAAGAACGTGGTCCAAATTCAAGCAGTGTTTAATAGTTTCAGATTTCTTTTACGGATTATTAAGTGTCAATTATTGAGAACTGAATCTTGTCTCACCTGCCCAACCAAGTTCTGTTTTTAGAAGTCTTTGACAAAATTAGAATTCAGCAGTTATGCATTAAGCAGACACCCAAGAACACATCAGATTTCAGGGGCATCCAGTTTATCCCCATGTTCTAAATGCCAAACTGGAATGAAGGGAACTGTCACTCCTATAACTTCCAAAAAGGTGATCATATTGTTTCTGACAACATTTGCATTTTTTTTTCCCAATTCAAGGATGCATTCCAAAAACTGTCAGCATAAAAAAACCCGGAACGGCATCAACTCAAGATGCCATGTGAATTTAATTCATTGCATCAGTGATGTCTGCTGGTGATTTCAAATGAAGGAATATATGATACCAACTGTCAAATATTTTCAGGCTTTTGTAACTATTGTGTTATGGTTCCCTCTAGTGGACACTGCTCCTTACAATATTGTCAACATAAGATGAAGAATATGATTAGAAGTTTCAATTTCTATACTAAACGTAGAAGTATTCAGATTTAACCCCTGCCTCTTCTTCAATTCCTTTATTAAATGGCACAATTTCTCCTAGACTGCAGCATGCTGTTTCCTATAGCCCAAGCAAACACATCTTTATTTATTTCATCATAGAAAGTATGTTTTACAGTGTAGGTTTTTAAAATATTTTCTTACCAATCCCAAAATAAAATTATTGCAGCTATAGGATTGGTAAGAAAACATTTGGTAACATTGGTAAAATTATATATTATCCTTGTAATTCAAATGCAGTTCCTTCGGAATTATGGATACCTGTCTGATTTTCACTTAATATGAATGTAGATTGAAAAGATAGTGCCCTATCTAACATGCCTATTATTCAATAGTAATATTTGTTACACCAAACTGCCCAATACAGAGGCAATTCCTATCTTCAGATTCTAGACTATTCAAACAAGCGAGAAATCCACTTGTTATTCAAGATAGACTACTGACCATAAACAATAATACAGTCTTCAACTTACGACTGTTCATTTAACAATGTTTCAAAGTTATGGAAGTTTGGATGACCTATACTCAGATTTACAATTGTTGTACCACTCCTGCAATCACATGACTGCAATACAGGCATTTATGATCAGTTGCAGCATCCTGTAGTCCTGTGAACAAGATTTGCAACTGTTTTTGATGATTTCTAGCAAAACAAAAAACAAAACAAAAAACCCACCAACCCTTTGGGAAAGCTGGATTTGTTTAACAACAAGGGGATTAGTTTAATGCCTGTCTAAAAGTTGTCATAAAATCCGATCCAGCTTGACTTACAACCTCGACAACTTATAATAGAAATTCTGGACCCAATTGTGGTTAAGTTGAGGACTTCTCGTACACAAAAAGAAACATTTAATAATTTATGTATGTCTGTTAAAATATTGCCTACAAAGAATGCAACATTGGACTTTGTGAATGTAAAATGAATACACATGGACATACAGATAATTATCAGCCATGGTCATTTTATTGCTAGAATACAGAAAATTTTAGAAAGCAGCTATATAAAAAGTCACATAAAAATGTATGTTATGAGCCTTTTGTTTTTCGTATCATTTGTTCCATGATATTCCACTGGTCATTGGTGACCTAGCATAGAAAAGAAAACACTTTCGTTGAGATGCTGATTTTTTAACTATCATCATGTAGTGTGTTGATATAATGGCATGACCCTGTCAGGTATAATGTTCTTAAATCGCATTCAGTTTTCCAAGTGAAATCAATGGGACTTAAGCTTAGTACTCAAATCAAAAATATATAGTAATACATTAAAATTTTAAGAGGAAAAATAACTCTTAAAAGTGATGGATAGAGGCGGCAATAACCTTATAAGGCATGGATGTTTTTTTTTTTTAACCAAGCATCCAAAGCTGACATTGGGAGGAAAAAGAGAAATACGATGGGAACTATAGCAGAATGGAGGGCAGGATTAACTGATTAGAACACCTGATAGGAATTTTCCATTTTGCAGCCTTTTGTTACAAAGTTTTCCTTGTAAATTATTACCTTACGTAATTCATTGAATTCTCCAGCCATAGACACGTATTCACCACCATCCATTCTAATGACCTGTTAGATTGATGCAGAGGTTGTTTCATTAAGGTATTCAAATTATCAGCTGAATTAGTTTACTTCAGTAGAACTTTTGTACAAGAAGTTCTCAACTTCTGTGACTTACTGAACTGTACTAAATTTGCCCATAAAGCATTCTTTCCACTAGCCATAGGTAGTTTCTAAAAAGTTAAAGAGTGATTCATAAAGCATTCTCTTCAACCCACCGAGCTCCGTGAAAATGCTGCAATTAAACGCCTTCAAGGAATCAGGTGACACTTGTGCGTAATTACACTTTTCTAACAGCAGCAGTGAGCTTCGTGCACAAAGGATCAACTTACTGCTCCATTAACCCAATTCGCGTAATCACTGCAGAGGTAGGTGGCAAGGTTGGCGATCTCTTCCACAGTTCCCAGGCGACCACAAGGAATTCTCTGGATCATTTCTTTCTCAAAGATCCCAGTGGGGTCCAGGCGGCTAAAGGCTCCCTGGGAAAAAAAAAACAGGGAAAAAATTGATGGTTGTAGAAAAAAGATTCATGGCTTGCAAAAAAAAAAAAAAAAAGGAAAAGAAAAAATCACAAGGAAGCACTGCTCCACTCCAAAGTACTCCCATTTCTAAAAGGTGACTCATAATTACAGGAACTCCTTGAGTTATAACACACAGATAGTTGTAAATCGGGTTACACTTCTGAGCGACCCGATTTTATGACCTTTTTGTGATATTTTTGTGGCCTTTGTGGTTCATCAAATTCGCAATTGTTAAGCAAACCAGTGGCTTGCTATGGGCACAGTTTTGCCATACCCAACCCTGTGTGGGACAGTGCTTCTGGTCGCTGCAAAGAACTCAGTTAATTTCTTAAAGAGTAATAATATACCTTTGTTTTTATTGGGCCTGGTTGAATCACATTGAATCTCATGCCGTATCTACCCCACTCAGCTGCAAGAGACCTAGAAATCAACGGAGATTAATTAAATATTCTGCATCCAGAGATTAATATAGCTGCAAAATGTAAGGCTGCAAAATGAGCACAGACTACAGTTTTGTGAAAAATATAGACAGATCTAAAACAAAGATTTACAGAAGAAGCAGGAAAACAGCTAAATTGATCTCTCAAGGAGAGAATCAAAGGTATCAAGAAAAAGTAATGCATTTTTAAGTAGTACTTACTTGCACAGGGCATCTACACCTGCTTTGGCAGAAGCACTTGGTACTACAAACCCAGATCCACTTTCTGCATAGACTGTTGTAATGGCCAGAAATGCTGCCCCTGAAAAATTCAGGAAAAGAAATGTGGGACGTAAGTTATAACTTTGACATGACACTTGACTGAGTTTTTCTTATATTTCTTGTAGAAATCATGACATGTCATTCAAGAGCGAAACACTAGCATTTATATTTAAACCTTTATGGACATGCATGTATCTGTGTATCTGTATCTATTCATGCACGTAATGTAATAATTTACATTTTCTGTTTGTAGACTTTAAAAGCATCCATTTCAAAAAGAATAAGAAATATTATTATAATTTTAAACAAGAAATTCATACCCATATTTACAGCACTATTTTGGTAACAGAAAGAGATGATAAATACTTAATAATTACAAAAATTATTATTTGTACTATTTGTGATTTGCAAATAAGCCACCATCCATTAGACAATTAAACAGATTATTATAATTTTTTTTGTAGCTCAGTTTCAAAGGTTTCAGTTTTGTTGACCAACTGTTAATAAAACAGAAAGGGAGCATATATTTGACCATATGTACTTAAGCAATAAGTACGTACACTTCATGTTGAACATATTACTGGCAATATGAAGTTAAAGAGAAAGTAGCATTAGCAATAGCACTTAGACAATATATAACTTCACAGTGCTTTTACAGACCTCTCTAAGCAGTTTACAGAGTCAGCATATTACCCCCAACGATCTGGGTCCTAATTTTACCCACCTAGGAAAAATGGAGGGCTGAGTCAATTGTCAGGGTTCCCCATTCCAATTAAAAACTACGAGAAAGGCATTTTCTCAAAGTCTCCTTTTTATTAGAGTAGGTATACTGGCACATCTGGGAAAACCCAAATCTGAGAGTTCCGGGTTTTCCCTTAGTAATTGAAAAGTTAAAACCCAACCCCTACACCCATCAGTCCATCACATGGTCCAATCACCAACCGTCCCAACTAGAGACATCCCTTCAACCACTCCTCCTCCAGGTGCAGGAATAACATGATCTTGACTGAAAAGAAGAATGCTATTATATCTAACTACCAACACTCTAAAATCCCCCCCTCCTACTTTCCCAGGCACAGGAATGTGGCCGCGTGGAAGCTTCTAGTTCTAATATGGCTTCCAAAGCTGACATCAACTTTGAGCCTGATGAAATTTGAACTGCCAAATTGCAATCAGCTGGCAGTCAACAGAAATAGCCTGCAGTACTGCACTCTAACCACTGCACCACCGTGGCTCAGTATTTATGTATTTAACTATATGACATATCATTATATTTCAGATAATATTTAGCATAATTAATAATGATCTTATTTTCTTTAAAAAGTGCTTTACAAATGGTAGCAATTGCAAAATAATGTTTAAATAGTCGTATAAAAGTGATGTAGATATTTCCTTTGTTTTGTTTGGCATATGTAGTATCAAGCGAGACAAAGCCAAGATGCTTTGTAAGAGTCAGATAATGATAAAAGTGGTAGTCATTTTCAATAACCATGTTACGAGGGTTTTGTGAAAAGTGTCTAACATTCCATAAAACGACTACATCGCTTGCATAATTTATATCCACAAGCAAAATTTGCTGTATCTGTAATGTATAGTAATGGCAAGAGCTGAACCGTTAGACAGGCTAACAGCAGCTCTTCCTTTGGTACCTGATGACTGTAAAGTAGCTCTTTTTTTTCCTCCAGAAGGTGGACAGGTAATAAAAGTTGCCTCATCTTTCCAAAAGGGTTTGCTATTAACTAACAAAGTATGAGGCCTATTTTCAGAATAATACTATACTAAAAACTTAAATTTCCAGACATCTGCAAGGAAATAAACATAGATGTCACTTGCATTCAGTGATAAAAAGGTGATGTCGATCAATTTGAGTTTACCTTTCTGGGCTTTAATCAATTCTTTTCCAATTTGCAAAGTTACAAAAGCAGTACCATTCAAAACAATGTCAGTGATAGCCTTCCATGCATTTGCAGAAAGACGTTCAGAAGGAGAAATAAAATTTCCAGCAGCATTATTTATTATTACCTGAAATAAAGAAAAATACATTAGATCTGTATTAAATTTGATCTACAGTTTACTGGAAATAACAAATAAGCAGCTACCAATTTCTACACAAACAGAAGACTAGCAATCAAAACTTGTCATTTAAAAGCTTTGTAGACAATATGTGACTATTTCAATATAGTCATGAGAAAAACATGTCTGAGGGGTATACATGGTACTACCCCTCTGACAGAAATTTCAAATACTTATTCCTTATAATTTTCTACCAGACTCTAACATTAGCAGGAATTGTTCCCCACCTCTCAATGGGGATTTGTTTTTAGCAGTGAGATTCTAAGATTTCTTCTTTCAGTCTAGGTGTGATACCACCCTCATCAACAATGAAGAATAAATTAAACTAAATGTCTGAAGTTTAAATAATGCAGTGTCCTCCCAGATCCTCTCTAATGATGTTCGAATCCTGTGGACCTGACCTGATGTACCTGATTCTAATTTTAGATATTTTAGATAGTGATGAATAGAGGAAGGTACTTATGTTTTCCACATGAAAAATCTGCATTGAGGTTTACTTAAAATTACTCAATGGACTATAAAATGCAAATGTGCATGATATTTGTTATATCTATCAGTATTGTTGTATATGAAATAGGTTAATAAAAAAAAGTCAATGGTGTGTACTTCTCCAATGACTATGTCTAAATTTGCTAACTGGCAAGTAAAACCATGCTAATAGTAAAATAATATTTACAAGTCAACCACTATTGCTTATTCCAGTGTTTCTCAACCTTGATATGATGGGATGTGCAGCTGGAGAAGGAGGGGAAGGGAATGCTGGCAATAGCACTATAGCTTCCCAGGGAAGAGGCACAACATTCCACAGAGGACCCCCAAACAGAAGACTGCAAAGTCCTGAAGTAGATGGGGAAGGGAGGAAAAGGTTCAGGGTAGCCACACGCTACAATCTCTCAGAATATATCTACTAAGTTGGGAGGTTATATTTAGCTTGGCAAGATTTAGTCTATTAGATGTAAGGAAAGAAACAAGTGGATTTTATCAGATCTCACTGCTTCATCTTTGGATTTGAGCCTGACACTCAGCAACTTTTAGATGGATTTCAATTTCCAGAATTTTTCAGCCAGCTTAGATAATTGTATTTCCAGTTTTTTGTTTATGCATGCTTACGTAAGTGAAATTTTATATTTAAAAAAGCCTTGACATATGTGGCTGGCTGTATATCAGAGGGTAAATAAGCTGTTGTATTATGATACAATGCAATCTATTAAGAATGGATCACAAAGATGTCCCAAATTCTTACTAAAATGTAAGCATTAACATGTCAAAATGAGATCAAGAAATATTAGATAATTTAATAGAAATGAAATCGATCAAAATTAGTTTTTGTCATTAGACATGTCACTCCAAGATCATGACTTTCATTCCAGAAATTAAACCTTGATATAAACAAACCATACTAGGACTTTGCCCAAAACAGTTTGCAGAAAATTATATCAATATGGAAAATGCTATATATTAGAAGGTATGCTCACAATACAAGTCAAAATTTCTATTGGAGATACGTTTAATTAAGAGAGAAGGAACAAATCTTTGAATCTTCTTGACTAGTTTTCTAATAAATTATTTTTCATGAGATTCTGATTTGCTGACCTTATGTCATATTATGGCTGTTGCACTGGATGGGGCTTTATGGGTACTATCAATTAGTATACACTGGCATACAATTATCAATTAGTATACATATGACAGTTATTATTATTATTATTGAAATTACAATAAAAGGCAACTTATATTCTCTTTTGTTTGATTATTTTACCTGTATGACATTCTTTTTTGTTACATCGTACACTATTTTTCCAGGAAATAATAAATTAAACTTTTCAATTACTTACATCAGGATGCCCAGCCACTTCAATTAATCGATTGACTGCATTGGTAACAGACTCTGGATCTTTCACATCACACTGAACTGCATGAACCTGGTAATAAAGTAAAATAATTACATAAGCAGCAGCAGCAAAAAAAAAGTTTAAAGAAATTTAAAAAATAGCTTTGCATACTAGATTCAGATATGGTGCACAGATCTCAATAACAATTTTAAATACCTTATTTCCAGTTTTAGAAGATATTTCTTCTGCTGTTTGATTCAATACATCAAGTTTCCTGCAAATAGTTATGTGAGTTCTTATTGTTTACATAATAAATATTCCATATTTATGACCCTATAATCCTTAATTTGGGATAGAGTTGGGAGTGACTGGATGGAGCTACGTTTACTGGCTGTCTGTCCTATCTGATGCCATGCGGAGTGTTATAATGTATATAATGTTATATACTTTAGAAAATGCAGTTACAGATTTTTCATATTGTTCCTTATATAATGGTTACTCTGTGCTAATTCATAGCAGATTCATGTACCAAAGGAACTCAGATCACAGTCTTGGGATTTATAGGAGACTACCTTAGGTTCTCCGAGAATTTATGGCTTTCGTCAGAGAATGAAGAGGCAAACATGCTTTTGGGAATTTCTCTGAATTTCTCTTATAGTAAAAGTCTATCACTGTTGTGCCTCATCTAGTACAAAACATTAAACAAAACAAACAGGAGTTTATCGAGCAAGGAACAATTTATCATCTGACTAGGACGAATGGGAAATAAAGAGAACATGGAGATGTAATAAGTTTTGTTTTTACCGGCTTGCTATGACACATTCTGCTCCCAGATTAGAGAGCGCACTTGTCATCCCTTTTCCAAGGCCCGTACCACCACCTGTGATAAAGGCCACTTTCCCATGAAAAGCATCTGGTGGCAGCATCGCTTTCTGAAGTGGTGAAAAGAAAGTGCCCTGACCACTCTTCGTTTGATATAGTACGTTTGTTCCATGGGTGAAATGCTGGGGGGGAAAAAAGAAGGACCATTTTAACATCACACTAAGGTAACTGCTACTGTCAATAATAAATGATAATGTTTTCAAGCATTCTGCTTTACATGTCTTGATGTAGCCTTACAAAAACATTTTATGTAAAGTCTGTGACTAAGTTCACTCATTACTTTAAGACATGATTTGCTTAACTTAGTAAATAAATTAGTATTGGTTTATGAAAGAATATGTTTTATAAAACAAAACTGGATTCACACAATAACTAAACAAACATTGCTGGGCAAAGTAAAAGTTCAGCTCATAATTGATCCAACGCTCCTGAAATCAATAACATGTACCAAAACAATATCTTTTCATTGTTTTCTGTTTAGATGATATTATTCTGACAATGTGAACTGCCTGAAATATTATGCTCCAGAGGAAGTTCACATGGTCTGCAGAGGGACAAGGATGCTCTCTCTTCCATTCCTAAATTGATGATCCTTAATTTGAATGTTTATTTACATACTCCACATATTTCTGGAAGATGCTCTGTACCACTACCATTAAAACAAAATCACAATGCTCTCATTTTAAGACCCTTTTCCTATTTTAATGAGTTGTTGCTTCTACCATGTTTCTCCAACAATACGCCCCTCCCAATAGGAAGGCCCAGCACTGTTTTATAGGCATGAGGTGAAATTAAGCCCCGCTGCAAAATTTGGGCCTATTTAAACCATGCATTCCCCGCCATTTCTCACACCGCTTGAACTACACAAGGTGAAGAGAAATGGGGGGAAGGACGGGGGGGGGAACTTGCTTTCAGGAGTGCCCCACAGGTAGCCTCGGCTAGAGCACCCCGTGGGCAGATTCGCCTCTATCGGCCGATAGAAGCACCCGCGGGCAGAATCACCTCACCACCAGCTGCTTTTATCGGTCGATAGAAGCTGCCCGAGGGCAGAGTCACCAGCCGCTTCCACCAGCCAATAGAAGCAGTTGATGGCGAAGCATGGCTATGCATAGGGTTCCCAACGGCAAACTCAATTGCGTAAGTATATTATTGTCAGAGTAAATATCAGACAACCCCAAGATTCCCACTGCATTTCTGCTTTCCGAGCCAGCCGCTCTTCTTCATTCCCTCAGATAGCCCTAATTCCCCCCCACCCCATTTCCCACTGCAACCACTTGGACGGAGTCCCAGGAGTGTCACGGGACGACGCAATCCAGACACTGTCTCTTCTGCTTAGGCTGCCAACTAAGGAAACTTGAACTTTACTCAATTGCTTGGTTTGAAAGAGAGGTCGGAAGGATCTTTGTGCCCCTTGCCATCCACTAGCATCTTTGAGGGGGAAGGTATGCTTCGAGGGGGAACACGGAGATTGCTGTCTGTAAAAATGTAAGCAAAACAGCCTGCCTTTCTCCTACCTTCTTTTCAAGGTTTTGCTTGCAGCCTGACCACTGACAGGGGGTGAGTCTGGCTTCAGCTCTCCCTTGTGTGGTTGCTGGGGTATGCTGGCATCTCTTTTTCAGATAGTACAAGGGAGAGGGTAATCCACAAATATAGTTTTGGCTTCTGCACAGACATTGTAGTGTGCAGTGTGGTTTGCACAAATATGGTACCTACCTCGCCCCGTTCCTGTAGTTTGCCAGTAGAATAAGACAATATACATCTCTTAAATCTCCCATTCCTAGATATTCCAGGACATTAAAATAACTTAAATATTACAATATTCATAGACAAAGGGGGGGGGGGTTGCATGTGTGTTACTTTTCCCCAGAATCCAAATAATCGCAAGTCCAATATTTATTTGCATTTTATTCTACCCTTCCTCCAAAGGGGTTGGGGGGTGGGGTGGGTACTGCATTCTTCTTTAATTAATAATTTTCAAACAAAAAGTAAGATAAAATAGTGCATGGATCAAAATCATTCAAGAGACTTTGTGGCCAAGCACAAAGTTGAACTATTAGCTGTCCCTGATCTAGTGACAAGATTGCTCATCCCATATTTAGGCCTGTGTATATATTTCATTCCTATTGCATGCCTGGTTAGATCCTTTTAAAAAAAGAGTGGCTAATGCTGCCAGTCAGAAACACACTGCAGTTATTTCACCTATTATTTTTCAATAGATTTTTGTCATTGTAGAAAAAACGGAGAAGCAGAAAATATAGACTGATGAGTTGAGTACGATGAAATCTAGATATTCACTTAAATGACAGAATAATTGCACAACAAATGACTGGAAATATCATTGAATTTTATTCCTGTGCTTACACAGCACACCTAGCTGTGTTATGGAATTATTGTACTGTAATCTATTTTCTTCGATTGTTCAATACATCAAATTATAAGTTAATTAAGAAGTCAACTAAGTTGCCTAACAGGATAAATAAGAAGAAGAAGCAAAATCAAAACATTAAACTTTGTACATTGTGCAAATGCAAGCATTAAACTGACAGTTAAATGTTATGGAAATTCAATTCATAAACCCATTTCATATTTAACATCAAACACAGTTCATCAGTCTGTTTGTAAACTGCTCTGCAGCATTTTAGAATAACTCAATAACTCTATTGGTTTCTTGGATAATTACAGGTACCGGTACTCATTGACTGTTGTGTTCATTTAGTGACTGAAGTTACAATAGCACTGAAAAAAGTGAGCTATAACCTTTTCTCACGCATAAGATTGTTGCAACATCCCCATGGTCACATGTTCAAAATTCAGGTGTTTGGCAATTGGTTTATACTTATGACGGTTGCTGTGTCCCATGATCATGTGATCACCTTTGGCAACCTGACAAGCCAAGTCAAGCGGGGAAGCCGGATTCACTTAACGACCGTGGGATTGACTGATCAACTGCAGGGATTCGCTTAACAAAAACTGGCAAGGTTGTAAAAATGGGGCAATATTCCTTTAATAAATGCCTTGATGAGTGGCAGAAAGTTTGGGCTGAATTGTGGCCATTAAGTAAAAGACAACCTGCACCACATTTGGGGAATTGGAACAGAATTAGGAACTTCACAGAAATTTCTCCCTCCTGCTGTCTTCTCCTGTCCTGCTCTTTTAAACTTCTCTCCAGCCTTGGAAATCCTCTCCTGGGGACCCCATCCAATAGGGGACCCCCCACCCCCCCAGATAAATTACACCAACAAAAGAGAGGTGGTGAAGGAGCAGGGACTTTCAGGTTCAGAAACTCTTGGTTAAGCGCAAACTCGGCCGATAGAAGCAGCCTTGTGGCGATGTGAATGCACATGGGGCGCTCTAGGTGGGGGTACGTGTTAGGAATGTGAGTCAACTAACAGCTATTTGGGATGGAAATATATAAACCAAGATAGACATTTTAATACTGTCTCTTTAAGAGAATCATAAAAGTGAAATTGGGTGCGGTTTCTCAAACGGCCATAAGATGGAGCCAGAAACCTGGGTTGTCTTAGTCTTAGTCTCAGAAGAGAGTGTGTCTGAGTGAGTCTCTCTGTTTTCCTTCTGTTGGAGAGTTTTGCTGTTCTTCCTAATTGACTGATATTCCTGGATTTGATGTAAGTCTGATACTGAACTGTTTTTGACACTGGACTTTGTTATTGGATTATCCCTGGACTGAAAACTGACTGACTAACCTGAGAATGATTTTGGACTGATTGTTTTGAACTTTGCTTAAACCTTTATTGAAAGTAAAAAAAACCATACATTTACTGTACAGTGTATCTGTGTGCTGTGTGTGTATTATTCAAACACTACTCTCAAATATGTCTCCCTGTATGCGCTCATTCTCCTAACGGGGAATTACCTCAACAGTGCGCATGGGGGGAAATTAAGTCACCCCCAAAAAGACAGCCTAGCCATTTTTGGGGGGCTAAAAATCAATAAGGTCCAGCCTTATTTTATGAGAAACACAGTAGAAAAGGATGGTCTTATAGTTCCTTTATAGATGGCACACAGTAACTATATGGCAATAGCAATAGCATTTAGACTTATATACCACTTCACAGTGCTTTACAGCTCTCTATAAGAGGTTTACAGAGTCAGCATATTGCCCCAATAATCTGGGTCCTCATTTTATTGACCTTGGAAGGATGGAAGGATGAGTCAACCTCGAGCCTGGTGAGATTTGAACTGCCAAATTGCAGTCAGCTGGCAGTCAGCAGAAGTAGTCTGCAGTACAACCTTTTAATCACTGCGCCACCATGGCTCATATGCTTCAGAACTTCAAGGTTGATCTGAAATTTGTCCTGCCCTGAATTTTTTTAAGGAAGCTGAGAATAGCTCTTTGACCGGAACTAGTTTTTTTTCATGTTCTTCAATACATAAACTCTTTCAATAAATGTATCATTAATACAGTTAATCACTATTTCTACCAAATAATAAATGCTGGCCTTCAATCCTCAATTCATTTATTTCCCCCCCCTCAATTTTGAAATAAATATTGAATCATTTTTTCATTCTCTTAGTTCCTGCTTTAGCTACACCTAAAATTGATCATCACCAGTTCAAGTCCAATTAATTTCAACTGATCTGTTATGCTTCATTGTATCAAATAGCTGCTTTTAAAATGGTTAAAGGTCAAATTATTTTTAACACACACACGCACTTCCAAATCTAGTTCTTAAGAGTTTTTAAAGATCTTTAAACAATATTATGAATCTAGATAGTCATGCAGGACAGCTATTTAGCTTTGAAGTGGAAAAGATGTTTCACTATTCTTTAAAGAAGCCATGCTTTTTTTTTGAGCTCATACAGTCACTTTACAGTTCAGGTTCCTTTGTGAGCAAAAAATGGCAGGATCTTCAGACAGTGAGAACAGTTTCCTATGTCTAAAGCAGACTCTTGAAATTTCCATTGTTTATAACTGAAGAAGTAGAAGAATAAGAGCCCAGAGCATAGGACACTAAAATTTACTATGTAGATCTACCTAGGTAGGGAAGACCTGTACACAGTCATTCATACTTTCTGTTCAAAAGTATCAACAAAGATGTTAGCATGAATAAGGCTAAAATAATGGTAGAAATTTCTGGAACATTAATGATTATTAATTGCT